TCAAATCCCAGTCCCTGCAGTTCTCTAAAGCAGGTACTTTATCTTCTGCGCTATCTCACTAACCTGTTTATTGAATTTTATATGTTGAACAATCCCAGCATCCCTTCGATGAATTTTCTTTGCTCATGGTGTATAACCTTCTTGAAAATTTTTGTGTTTGTGTTCATTATGGAGATTGGCCTGCAGTTTTGTTTTCTGATTGGTTTATTCTCTGATTTTTGTGTGAAGATAATACTTGTTTCCAAGAGCAACTTTGGGATTACTGCTTCTTTTCAATTTCATTAAAGAGTGTGAGGAATATTGGTATTATATGTTCCCTAATATTCTTGTAGAATTCAGCAGTGAATATATCAGAAAGGGATTTTTCTTTATTGGTAGCTTTTCATTTTTTATTATTTCTTCAGTTTGAATGATTGTCTGGAGCATTTTTTTTTAATATCTGAAGTTAGGATTGATGTTAACTTTTTTGTCCTATTTTTAGAAGAATAACTCTTGTCAGGGCTATTTGTTTTGCCTGCTAGAGTGAAGTTTCAGTAGGTGGAGGCTGGGCCTTTATTATAGAGTCTAGATTTTTCCATTGTATATTCTGCTTGTTGGACCATTTCAGTATAACCAGATAGTCATATGGCAGCATGGCTTCTGGTTTGACTAGGAGCAGTGTAGCTGGGTGCAGAGTGTTTATTGTCCCTAGAGTTATGCAGGGATATTTTTATGTAAGAATCCCTAATACCAAGTTATTGTCAGATTCATCAACTGTATCCTCTCTGTTTATCTGTTGTCCCAACATTCACTTATGGACCTCCTGTCTTAGCAAGGCAGTGGCAGCAAATGTCAGACCTATGGCACGGAGGCCATCCCAGGGCTAAAGAATGTCTTCTGACAAGTATGTCATCAGAGAATATCAGGATCTCATGACCTGGGTTAAAACTCCTATGATCATCTTTATTTGTTTATGGAAGTACAGGAAAAAACGCTTGGTTATATTTGAAAGTTCTCAGACTTGGGTGTGAACTGGGGCCTGCTTGATTTGCTCAAATGTCTTTTCTTGCTCATCTTTTCAGAGTAGGAGCTTCTGACTCCATGCCTTTGTTTTTTGTCTGAATGCTATCTCTATTTTCCGTTTTGTTTTGTTCTTGAAAGTATATTAAGAACATTTTGTGGGGCTGGTGAGATGGCTCAGTGGTCTAAAGCACCTACTTAGAACAAGCTTAGCAAACCACAAGGTCCGCGGTTCAATCCCCCAGCACCACATGCCAGCCAGCCCCGTACCCTGGTGGGCTGAGCTGGCCACACACACACACACACACACACACACACACACACAAATAAATAAAATTTTTTAAAAAAGAACATTTTGTGGCAAAGTATCTTTTATTGTAACAATTTTTAATATAAGCATTCATCGTATCTGTTGTATATTAGGTCTCCTTATTATACATTCTGGATGCATTCATCTTTATGGGATGAGGGGGAAAGAACCTAAAGCAAAGTTAAAAATGCAACCAATTCTCATCAATCTCTTTGGATTCAATTTGTTTACAAAGTGATAATGTTGACATACCAGTTAGTATTATATACCTTTGTGATTTCTGACAGTCATAATTAATTTTCCTTCTTAAAGTAGAACAGAAAAGAAAAATATGTTTTTTACAAAAAACTTCTGCTGCATTACTTCTCTGCTTGTAGTTATAACCTCAGTGTCTCATTGGCCTTTAGTTGTTAGCATTTTAGTTCCTGTTTAGCTTTTTCAGGAAGACCTTTAGCCTTTGTCTGTTCTATTATTTGTTGCTTTGTTTTCTCACACAGATCAACCAGTCTTATGTATTTTTCCAGTTGTGTGTGATTTAACTGTGCAGGGTTTTTTGTTTTGTTTGGCTTTTTGGCAAAGGAGGCACACTTGCTTGGTAACTGTGTCTGTGTGTCTGTGTTATGTTGAATTGTTTGAACTGTTACCTGTACTTGGTGTGTTTGCCCTGTCTCTCTCTCCTGTAGGCACACCTCTTTGCCTCATTGGTTTCTCCAGTGACTGTAGAGTCCTTCGTTGTTGCTGTTTTATTTTTGTCTTTTGAGTTATCTCAGCTTTAACATTCACATATATGGCAAGCTTTGTTTCTGCTTGACACTTGCATTTGCTCTCCCCTGACATTTGTCTCTGCAAGTGTAGTTTTCTAATATGTGTGCTGCTCTTGGGATTATGCTTACTCTATGTATGTATAAAGAGGATCTAATTTATCCTTAGTGCTACCAACATGGGGGAAATCCCAATCTAAAAGATATCTAGGATGAGTTCATGTTCTCCAAAATTGAAGAATGAATTTTAGGAACAACAGAGGTTAAGAGCAGAATATATTTATTGAGGGAAAGAAAGCTTCTGCCCAAGAGAGGGGCGGAAGGTGACTTAAGTGGATTGTAAAAAAAAACTGTCTTTTATTTTTTTTTAATAGAGCTAATGACATAAGGCAGTTCCAAGGAGAGAAACATGGAAAATTGTAAGTTGAGCATGGGGCGAGTCAAAATTATGGTCAATCAATAAGATTATAAGCATAATTACTCAAGTTAAATTCATTAAATCAGTATCAAATGGGGAATCTAGTCACATGCAATTGGGACATGATACAAAATAGGGACTTTTCCTCTAGGGTGTTGGGTAAATAACTCTACTTGGTTTTCTCAAGATGATAGAGACCTATTTATGTTGTATGTTACTGATCGGTGCGGAAAGAAACGACGAGAAGACCTGATAAATGTAGCTTCAGAGGTCTCACTCAGATTAGTCTCCCTCCAAGTGAGCCCAGAGCCTCAGAAGCATCTCACATTTATTGAGGGGTGAAGGCAGACTAAGGGATGTGCATAATTACCTAAGTGAATACAAACTACTATCTCTATTAACTTCCAACATTTGCTTAACACTAGGTTCACAGAAATGCTAGCCTATAACATCCCAAGCAAGGGATCAAAGGACAGGGCACCTGCAGGAGAAGCTGTTATCTGCTGCCTTGGGTCCCAGCTTGCTGAGAATTTGCAAACAGACAGCAATCCTCCTCAGGCTCAGGCCAGTGTTCCCTACTCTCTAGGGACATCAGACTTTTGTCTCAAATCTGTATCTCCAGATATTTACAGTATCAATCTCTGATGCTTATCCTTAGGGACATATGTGGGTGCATTATTTAGTCTTTTTTCTTGAGGTCTGGGCCACAGCGGAGGTTCCTGTCCTTCAAACAGTATCAAGGTATCTTATCCTCCATACTGGCTCCTTCAAGGCTTAACTGTGTCTGGCTCCCTATTATATTTTTTCAATAAGAAATAGTTTATTGGAAACTGAAAATTAGAATAGAAAAATATTGGTAAAAATATAAAGATATGCGATTATATACTCAATGTTTTCATGAATCTTTGCAATCCATGAAGTTAAGATATTAGCTAATCATGAAAATTAAGTGACTCAAGGAAGATCAATAGGAAAATATTCTAATATAGTGATATCCAAGAACTTTCTAAGATGAGAGACCCTTTCTATATCTCTGACTGCAACACTACCACACTAGGACTCAATTGTCTCCAGCCATAGGCACACAATGTGCATTTCCTTTTTGATGTGCAGTCTATTATATTTGGTTGTCTGCCGGTTGGGTCTTGGTTTTGAATCTTTGTCTCCTAACTCTTTTGCAAATGTGGTGACTTTTCGTAGATGCTCTATTTTTTGCATGTTACTTTTTTCCATTGTGCTGTCTCCTCTTACCTGTGCTATTGTAGCTTTTGTGTTTTATTTCTATTTGTACCCTGCTTCAGGGTACAATGTGTCTTTGTGAACTGCCGAGTAGCTCCCAGTTGTGTCTGTTTCTTGTTGTGTAATGTGTTCTCAGCATTACACAGATGAATCATAGCTTCATTTTTAGCTCTGTCTGCATGACAGTAGCTTTCCCAAAGCTCACCTTCAGCATGACAATTCACATGACATGGAATGCAGTATGGTTGGAAATCCTTCCATTTTTCTGCCTACCTTGAAAATAATGAAAGAATTCCAACTGAAGAGAAAGAATATGAAAATAATGTTTAAATGTTTTCATGATTCTCATAACAGTGGAAAACATGCACATATTTAGTATAAAAAGCAAATATGAGAAAGATAAAGATCAGAGTGACAAAGACAGTGAGTTCTTAGGGATGAGATACAGGGTTTAAAATCGTAGAAGTAGAGACAGTGTTCTTCCAATGTATCTATGGATTAATGCACTGCTGAGTTTGCAAAGTACATAATAATTTTAAATTCCGAATAACAAAGGACCTGAATCCAAGTCTTCACTATATGGTCTTTAAGGGATATTTCACATGTAAACTGTCACCTTACTTGTAAGGGTAAAGTGAAGTTTACTCATAAATGAAAATTTTTTTAATATTAAAATAAAGGAAATCCTTCATTTTTGACAATATGTATTATGCAATCATTATAGAAATGTTCCATGTATAGACAATTTAACACAACTTTATCACAGTTGTTTTTAGCATCTAAAATTTACAACTTTAGTGAACCACAGAGTTTAGTGATGGATACCATGTATGTAGGCAAAGAAGCAGAAAGATGTTAGTGAAAGAACACAATGCTTCTCTCACAGAGCATGAAATGGCATAGATCAAATAGTGACTGCAATGATGGATATGGTATCACAGGACATTATAATTTGCTCAAAGTTGTTTTTAGTGTTTCCCCACATACCCAAAAAGGAATTAAGGTTAACAGTGATCAAATAGGATCTCAAATTTGCAGAATGTTGAGGACTCTCCACACTGTTTTCCAGTGATTAGTCCAGTTTACAACCCTCCAATTGTGGAAAAGTATTCTTTTTCCCTACAACCATTCCAGAATCAATTATTGGCGGATTTTTTAATAGCCATTCTTTCTGGAATGAGATGAATGTTGAGTGTTGATTTAATTTGCATCTCTCAAATGATCAGTGTTTAATGTTTTTGTATAATTTAATAATCATTAGTTCATATTCATGTCAGTACTCTCCTGAAAGATCTTTACACCTCTGCAAACAGTGTAAAAAATCAGTTGTCCTTAGCAAACAAGAACTAAAGGCTATAAAGAAATTTAGGACCAGACGTGCAGTCTTAATGCTGCCAGCTCTATGTGCACAACCATGCTAATTTCCCTTTGACTTCGCAAATTTTATCCAGATTCTTTGAGGCTGACCCACAAGCCTAAACCGAGATATACTTGACCTTTCCTTCCTGGAGTGGCTATCATTCCAATTTCAGCCTGCCAGTATGTAGACAAAATAAAATCAAATATTTTGCACATTTTAAGTCTTTAGGCATTTTCTGATATACTGTTATTTAAGGATGTAAAATACCTCCACATTGAAAAACTATAGTACACTGAAAAATGAGATTTAAATGGATATCAGAAAATGGAACTATATTGAATAGGAGTGATGATAGAGGACATCCTTGTCTTGTACCAGATCTAAGAGTAATAGATTTCAGTTTTTCCTGAACTCTTTTAGAATATTTTGCTGAGTTTACACACCTATAATATTTAAATGATAGAACTTAAAAACAGGGGGGATACAGATGAATGTCCATTTTATATCTGTGTATTCAAAGTGGTTAGGATAGATATATAGTTACATTCTCTTAATGAATAGAGGGATTTGTTCTAATGGTGTTTGTAAATAGGATCTCAAG